GGACGCGGCGGTGACGCGGCACTGCCCCAGCGGAGCGCAGGGGGTGCGGGGCGGGCGCTCCAGCCATGACTCAGCGCCGCCCTCGCCAGTCTGCGGGGCGGCGATGCGGTGCTCCCCGAGCCGCTCCCCCCGCCCGCGCACCTCTTCAGCCTCCGGGGAGCGGCGCCCCGCCTGTCTCCGGTCTCCTTTCCCCGGAGCCGCCGCCGAGCAGCTGCCTGGCGTGTCCCGGCTCCCAGGGGCGAGGGTGGCTGTACCACTTCCAGCCTGGCACCGGCCTGGCTTTTGCTACCGCAGCCTCGTTTGCACGCTCCGGCCCACCAGGCCAGCCGGCAGCGCGGGACAGAGTGGTCGGGGCAGCCTGGGGGTGGCGGATGGAGCAGGAATCACGGGAGGGAGAAGAAAGCAGAGTAGGAGATGGGGAAAGGTATCAGAGGGCACTGAGGAGTCCGCTGGGCCAATTTGTGACCAAAAAGGTTCCCCAAGGGAATGGCAGCCATCCTGAATGAAAGTCCCTTGGCTTCAGCTCTCCCAGAAGAACTGGGCTTACACAGCTGAGCTGGAAGAGGCCTTAAGTGTGTTTACTTCAAATCCCTTCAGAGACAAGATTTGCTGCCCTTTAACCATGCCAGATGCCTATCCAGCCTCTTGGTGAAAACCTCCATGTGAAGGAGATATCACAAGTTCCCCAGGCAGCCTTCTCCACTGTGCTACTGCTCCTACAGTTAGACGTTTCTTTTCCTCAGGTTTGGGAATGGCTGGTACTGTATTGTGAATAACAAATACTGATCAAGTGTGAAGTCACTAATAGGAAACTTAAAACATTCTAACAGGTATCACAAGACTTAGTGTAAAGCCAGGAGAGCATACAAGTCTCCAGTCCATCTCTCCCACCAACCACTCTCATGATACTGCACCACTTCAGTGATAGATGGCTGCCCTTATGACCTTTATGGGAAGAAAATATAGTTAATCCAAGACTTGCATCCTTTCATTCCCAAACATATTTTTGTCCTTTTTGCTTACCTGTGACTTGTGGTTTGTACAATCTTATAAAGGTATTACATCAGGGGCCTACCCATGGTATAGTTGCCTCAAGTGGCCCAGGCAGTCTGTGTGTGTGGCACACCACAGATCTGGGATGAGACAAGGGAGCCCAGTGACAGGGCAGGAAGCAGAAAGCAAGGTGGCAGATGGGGAAGCTGATTGGAGTGACACTTGGGAAGGGTGTGGGGCTAACTTGCGCTATGCCTGCCAAGAAGGTTGGCCCCATACTGTTTACAGTATATTATTTATCGCAGCTGCAAGATCATTTAATGAGATTTCCTGTCCTTTTCGTAGGGGTTTCACAATCATTGGTTGAATAATGCACCAAAGTGTTTTCTGTGAATCGAATGCCCTCAGTACAAAAGATCCCCCAGCATCTCTAACTGCTCCATGACTTGATCTTCCACACCACAATGACAATTCCAGCACCTCAAGCTTATAGTCAAAGGTGATTCCTTAGCATAGTGTTTCCTAAACTTTTGATACCTGGGGCATACTTCTTCTGGATTAAAATTGGCAGCACACTTCACTCTTATACCCAAAAAGTATGTTTATGTATGCCAATATATTTCCCTTGGTAGAGTAATGGAATATGTTTTGAATACATATACACACACATACATACATACACACAGACATCCATATTTTTTTCCAAAACACAATCCATTCCGTACCAGGGGAAATCATATCAGTGCTGAGAGGTATTGTTAGAAAAATGACATCAAATACATCTTTCTTTAAGTAAAGGATTAGTTTTTGTTGTCAACTTTTTTAGCCTCAAGACACCACTCCATAACTCTTGAATTTTGTGGCACCCCAGCTGACAATCACAAAGATGGATCTAAATTCAGAACAGACATGGGAGGGCCCTTGAGGCTAAAAAAATTGAGACTCACTGGTTTAGCTGGTACCACTTAAAGGCAGGTACCAGCTAAACTATGCTATGCCCTACTCACTCTGCTATGCCCTACTCTTTCCACTCTGCCCCTTTTCAGCCCTTGGTCTGTACTATAGCGGTAAGAGCAGCATCCTGCTTCTGAGGCTGCTCATGCAGGATCTCACACATCAGCAACCACCCTTGTGGCCCCTCCCGCTGGCCCCAGCAGTATAGGAAGAATGGAGATGACAACCTGGACTGGAAAGTATGGCTCCATCTGTGTGTTCACCTGCCCTCTTGCTGCAGAGTGTGCTGCTCTGAGTGGGAGCAGGGTATGAGGGGAAGGGAGGGTTAGGGAAGGCAGCAGTGGTGGTGACAGTCTCCAGAGGAGCAGCTGCAGGTACTGTTAGAGTAGCTGTGGCAAGTATAAGATGCTAGATGAGGAAGCTGCCCCAAACATGGAACTCTGGTTGTTAGAGAGTGTCCTGCATTTGATGGCTCTCACATTTACCTTCTCACACAGGGATCTTGCAGCATGCTTCTGTTGCTCTCACGGAACACTGGGGTACGCCCTCTGGGGATCTGCCTTAGCGACAGAGATTTGTTACTTGAATGAGAAATCTACATGAGGCTTTAAAATGGAAACACTTGAGCCAGTAAAATGGCTTCAGCTGGTGCAAGGTTGATTTTGGAGGGACAACTTCAGATTTATTTTTCTTCCAAATATGAATCTACTTAGTTTTATAGCTCTATGGTAAGAGGTGTTTATTAGAACCTCTGATTAACGTACATGTGTGAAAACGAATTATTCTTACATGATCATTTATGGTCCATTTCAATACAATTATTGGGGTTGTTAATATTATTCTAATTCTTTATGTCACATTTCCTACAGAATTAAAATAGTTTGGACCGTATCTCAGAACATGTTATTTGGTAGGGAGAGGACCTTTCCTTTCGTAGTCCTGCTGTTCTTGAGTCTCTAAATACCATATTGTTCTAGCAGTTGTTTTATAATGCAAAATATGTTAACAATGATGTGACATAGTATGCTTAATTGTAGTTAGGTATATCTTTTTCCTCCTCTTTTATGATTAGGTCACAGATGACAACAAGACAAAGATTTCAATTACCAGTTTATTTTAGTGGTGATCCCGATTCTTGCCTGCCATGTCTTGATAGAAATAAAAAGTGTTTTTATTGGGAGGGATGGATTTGAACACCACTATATAACCTGATATATTACTTAGTCTTGTAGCATGGAACTCTTGAAACCTTCCTCCAAGACTATGGAAATTCAGCAATTCTTATTGTAAAAACTCACAATGATCAATTTTTTTCTCTTTTAACTGTCTTTTATTATTCACATTACATAAACAAAATTATTAAGTAGTTCAGAATTTTCTTCTCCCATTCCTAACAGACAGCTTATTCAGACTCTGGCAATTACAATGTTCAGTCTTAGAAAAAATGAAGATAAACAAACAACAGGATAAAACCCTTTTGAGATGAGGTTGCTCAGTACCCTCATCTCTTTTAAGGATATGTCTATAAAATAGCAAAAGTGTTTCTGACATCTCTCCTGACTATCCACATTGGGGCTTCAATTTTTGGAGTCTGGAATCCTCATTACTTTCCAACTCACTTTTGTTTCTTTTTGGTT